TTACTACAGTCTTTTTTCCATTTTCCGTTGCGAGAATTTCCTATACAGTACTCGCAAAGCGTAGTTAATAGCTAAATATGTCATTTCTCGAGTATATTTAGTAGAATGTGCTACCCCAGATGGTTTGTATGTCGCAAAAGCGATATTTAGGAATAAGCCCTTCAATAGCAGGCGGAAAATGATGTAGATAGTATGTTTGGACGAAGGGTCTTTTCATCAGCCGCTTTTGAGCTAGAGCCTACATGGGATACTGACGAAGTTTCAGTATGCGCAGCTGTCTACGTAGCATTTCCTTGCTAAAATCCTGCAAGTGAATCCCGAACTAATCGATGGCGGATAAATTGTACGTGATCAGGGCTCGATTGCCTACAACCGTATTCTTATTTCAGTTCAGTTCAGTTTTATTAGAAAAATATAGGTAAATACCTTTGAGCTCCCTCCTTGTACATAACTATGATGCAGAACATGTGGCGTTGCCTGTGATGGAACTGCGGTAGGGGGGCAGACAGTAAAACAACTCCTTAGGCATCTTTCATAAGTGTATTGTTGAATGTCATTTGTGGAATTTTAACGAGAAAAACTGTCGCCCGTGGGCGGGGGACGGTGAAGGGAATATGTTAGTCGGATGTCCTACTACTGAAAGTGCTTGGATCATGTCAGGGGAAGGCCATCGCGGTTGTTCAATATCCTAATGTTCACACGAGGAGAAGATTGCGGTCGTCACGAGAACATCACCGAGTGTCGGAGATGCGCCCCTTATACGAGACTCGCGATCACTCGTTATTCTAAACAAACAAATAACTGAAAAGTAGCGAGCAGTATGTTTTTTTTCAAAACGGTTATTACTGCCAGAGAGTCTGGTGGTAAATCTTACTTGCAGACGGGCGGTTATGTTATTAGTCTCGCATCATTACAGATAATGTCTTTTTATATGCTGATCCAACTGCATCTTAAACGTGTCCACAGATGGGGACATGACAATGGATGCAGGCAGAGCATTCCATGCCTGGATTACCCTCTTAGAGAAGAAGAATTTTCGGGTGTTCAATCTTGCCCCAGTCACACGTAGTTTGAGAGGGTGTCCACGGAATCTAGTAGTAGTGGCCAGCTCAAAGAAATCGTTGGAGGCTAGGCAACAATTTTGACCCCGCAGCATACGAAATGCCTGTATAAGGTCACCGCGCAGCTGTCTGTAATCCAGAGGAAATAAGTCGAGATTGGTCAGTCGCGTCTATAAGGAAGGTACGCTTGGCCTCGAACTAACTTAGTTGCCCGTCGTTGTACCCTTTCAAGGGTTCTTTTGTCTTTGACGTACACTTGGCCTCGCACTAACTTAGTTGCCCGTCGTTGTACCCTTTCAAGGTTTTTTGTGTCTTTACCCTGTCCAAGGTTTCCAGGCTTAGATGGCAAATTCCAGTTGGGGTCGCACAAACGTGCCGAAGACCTTGCCAAAGAAAACTTCATCAAATTTACCAAAAGCGCGCTTGATTAGATACAAGCTCAACATTGCGGATTTGGCCACCTTCAGGCAGTGGAGTGATGGTTGAAGTGAGGCAGTGAACCACACCTTTAGATCCTTCTGGGTCTCTACTTCTGGCAGCGGTGTGTTATTTAGGTCGTAAACCCTCCGATACGAGTAGTTAGTACTACCGAAGCGCATGATGTTGCATTTGGCGATATTAGATGGCAGGAGCCACTCGTTTGACCATTGCTCGAGTCGGTGCAAATCT